ATTCTATGAAGTTTTATAATTAGGAATAAAAATTTACACCGTGCTTCTTTGGTACCAGATAACAATCTGCTTAGTGAGTACCAGACTCATTTTACAAATGAGGAAACTGAAGTTCTTAGAGAGTTTGCCTCATTAAATAGTAAATAATATTATTTTCACTTAACATTCCAAAATTCCTTAATTGCGTTTTTATTTGTTTACTGAAGTAAAATTCACAGAATATAAACTATTTTAAAGTGTACAATTCAGTGATGTTTAGTATGTTCACAGTGTTGTACAACCATCACCTCTTAACTAGTTCCAAAACATTTCATCACGTCAGAAGGAAATTTATAGCCATTAAGCAGTCTCTCCCCATCTCCCTCCTCCCCCTGGCTGCTAGCAACCACTAATGTGCTTTCTGTCTCTGGATGTACCTGTGCTGGGTATTTCATAGAAATAGAATCATCTAACATGTGGCCTCTTGTGTCTGGCTTTCTTCACCTAGCATAATGTTGCTGAGGTTCTTGCATATTGTAGCAGGTGTCAGTACTGCAGTCATTTTTGTGGCTAAGATTCCCTTTTACGGATAGACCACATGTTTATCCGTTCCTCAATTGATGGACATTTAGGTTGTTTCCACTTTTTGCCCCCTTGTGAATGGTTCTACTACGAACATTTGTGTACAAGTGTTTGTTAGAGTACCTGTTTTAACTTTTTTTAGGTGTATACTTAGGAATTGGAATTGCTGGGTCATATGGTAATTTTATGTTTAACTTTTTAAGGAACTATCAAACTCTTTTCTACAGCATCTGCATCCTTTTATATTCCCACCAGCGGTGTATGAGGGTTCCAATTTCTACATCCTTACCAACACTTATTATTCTCTGTTTTTTTTTTTTTTATTTTAAATTATAGCCATCTTAGTGGGCGTGAAGTGCTTAATTAGATGTTTATAGGATCTTTAAATTTAATCATTTTTATGGCCACATAATTGATTTTTGGGTTTTTAGTAAATATTAATATTCTTACATACCTTTCTCTTTTGAATTATTTCTTGGAAGAAATCCTTGCATGGGAGTATGGGGCTGGATTATGACTTTTGGATATGTATTGCCAAATTACCTTCTAGAGGTATTCTATCATTTTTAATTGTTTCCAGCAATGAGTGAAAGCATGTAGCTAATACACACATATTTGACAGCATTGAGTTTTATAATTTTAAAAATTTGTTAATTTAATTAGTATTAAAATGGAACCTCATTGTATTTTTCCTTATTTTAGTTTACAGTATGGTTGGACATTTTATTCACATTAGTCCATGATTTGTCTTCTCCTTGATCAGATTAAATGTTCATATATTTTTTCACTGGTATTTTCTTGGTATTTTACATATTTGGTTAGTACTTTTCTTAATATAGCTAACCATTAACTATTATATGTGTTAATTTTCCCACTTGTTCATTTTGTGTGTGTGTTTTATAAACATTTAAAATATTTATAGGTCTGAATTAGTTCATTTCTTTCCTTTGTGATTTGTATTTATAATTTTTTATAATTTTATGAGAATGTCTTAAGCCTTGGTGACTCACATATATTTTCCTTTTGTTTTAGCACTTATATAATTCTGCAGCCTTCAAAGCTCGAACAAAAGCTCGAAGCAAATGTCGAGATAAGAGAGCAGATGTTGGAGAATTCTTCTAGATTTTCAGCACTTGAAGAATACTTTCTAATTTCTAATTTTTTCCCTTTTTTTTTTGTAACTTTCAATGTATTTAAACTCTAGAGGCAGTTTTTATCTTGGGTCAACATAGGTTTTGTAGCAGGGGTTATAGTACTTATAATTTAATGTACAGTGTTGCAAATGGTGAATTCTGATTATTGAATAGTCTCTGAATATAATCTGTAAACATGAATAAAGTATTTCTAGTGTTTGGTCATTTTCTGTTATGAAGAGAGCAGAAATTGGAGATTTCACATGATTTCAGGAAGAGAAAAAACTCTTGGCCAAGGTTAAAATTTCTTATGCTGTGGTTGTCAGAAATATTGATTGTAATAATATAGATATACAAGGTATTTAACTTAAAATCTTAGACAAATGAGTTTTGGATACAATTTTGGGAGATGGTTCTTCTGGAAATGCTGCTATATTTTTAATTTCAAATGAAACCTAATAATTTTAATTTTGTCACTGGGATCAACAAAGGGAATCATACCGTGAGACCTTACAGCTGCGCTTAAGTGCAGTCCAGCTATTGGGAGTTCATGATGAGTTAGCATATGCCAGAAAGGGTGCTAACCTTGACCTCTGAGGGCAGTAACACTAGTTTTATCTGCTGTGTAAGACCTTGTACTCTTTATTTTGAAATAAAAATCTTTTCACACTAAAAGTGCTTCTTTTCTAATAGAATAAACAGTATTTATAGGTTTGAGGTACAGAGCTCAAAATGACCAAGCCAGGTAGGGAGAGAGTGAGACAAAACATACTTTGTATATTTGGAAACATGAAAATAGATGAAAAAAATGAAGCAATGTATCATTGGGATTCCAGCTAATGACTTTTAAGACTACTGCTGCTTGGATACCCATGTGAGGTGATTTTTCACTTTATGAAATGCATTTTGAAAATGCATTCGGATTTTATTGTTAAACTATATGAAAATGACATTGCACAGGCAACATCTGCAGTTTAGAATTCATAGACTTATTTCTTTGACGTTCGTGCAGAAAACAATGATAAGAGGCATGAGGGTTGGAGAAGCTTATACACTGTAGAGAAGTACCAAAATCACCAGAGGTGTTTTTTCCAAACTAGCGTTCTTCCTCTCCCACTTCCCCCAACAGCAGCTGGAAGGTCTGATGTGCCCTCTAGTTGAAAATCCTTGGCTGGCTATAGAGTCCCTGCTGGGAGTGTGAGTTCTATCCCTCAGATGCAGTGCAGTGGAAAACTCATTGGGAATCTAGAACTTGGGTTCCCCAGTTGTCACTTAGTCATATCCAAGTAGGTTAGAACTCACAGGAAAGAGATTGCATGGTGTTTTTTTCTAGATTTTAAATTTCATATATGCCTACATATTTTTAAATAAAAATGAGTTTTTATTGAAGTGATATGTATACATACTTTAATAGTACTTCAAGGCTTATAAGGAAAAGAGCTCCCTGCTCCATCCTTTCCCATTTCTCAGGCCCATCCCAGGAAGCATTTCAGCCTTTAGGTTTTTTCCTAGTACTTTGGTTTCAGGTTTCTAATACGCTTCTACACGTAGTTACTTTTAGACATCTGACAATTTCCTATTTGATAGGTGAAAATTTCTGCCTTTTTACTTTTCCTCATTCTCCCAGTGCATCATTGTTTGCGTCATAGTGAGCATATTTCCATGTTCATTACTGAGCTAGATAGTTACTGTGTGTACATTTCCATTCTCAGAACATTTTATCGTAGTTTTACATACACATCACTAAATCTTCCAGATCAGTCCCAAATTAATGTATAAAACTCTTCTTGAATCTGTTTTCCACATGCTCAAAGCCCAGCAGAACGCTTGTTTCTTGTTTCCGTCTGGACTAATTTCTCTCTCATCCTAGTATACATCTGTTTCCCGAAACTTTGGCATCCTGGGATTTGTTGTCTTCTCTTTAGGGTTGGATGTCACATTTCCAGGACCCCATGTCTTCAGTATTAGATTATTTTCTTGTTAAAGTGGAACACTTCCTTCAGTAACTTCTGGGACTGGCTACATGGGAGGTTGGTTATTTTGAAACTTTGAAACATAGTTTGGCTTGGTATATGAAATTCCAGGTAGAAAATCAAATGTGAAATTTTGAAGGCATTGCTCTATTGTTTTCTAGTTGTCAAGTGTTGCAATATCTGATACAATTTTTATTTCCGATTTCTTTTGCTTTTAGAATCACTTTGTCTCTAGCGTTTTAAGGACTCTGGTAATCTGGAAAGTGTTTTTAAGTTCTTGGCCATGCTCTCGCTCCCTTTTCCCCATACACATTTTCTTTCTTCTGAAACTCCGTAAAGTACTAGAGTTGCTGGATTGAGCTGCTGGCCGTATTTCTTTCTTACTCATTTCTTTTTCTTTCTTGAGAGGTTTACGTAACACGGTTTTCCAACCTTCGATTGCATTTTATTCAATTTATTTTTTTTGCTGAGGAAGATTAGCCTGAGCCAGTGCTAGTCTTCCTCTACTTTATACTTGGGTTGCTGCCACAGCATGGCTGATGAGTGATGTAGGTCTGCACCTGGGATCCGAACCCATGAACCCAGGCCACCTAAGCCGATGTGCTGAACTTAACCACTATGCCACAGGGCTGGCCCTCTATTGCGTTTTACTTTTGGCTAATATGAAATTACCTGCCTGTATTTAGCTCCATGCTTCACTGGTGCCTCCAGCTCCTGAGCCTGCCTGAATTAAGGAGGCTCTCTCTGAATTAACCAACCACTCTCTCCTTTCAATACATTTGCTGAAATCTTGTTCAGTATTGCTCTCTTGTACTTTTGTTCTTGTGGTTTTGTAAGTTTTACCTATTCTGCCTTTTTACTGGGATTTTAGGAGGAAGAAGGATAAATGTTAATCTGTGTATTGTTTACAGATAGGTGCTTTTTTACTCATGAAATTTATGGGTAGTTGCTGGACAGATTTACTAGGGATTCACTGTGTAAGAATGCTTGAGTTTTCTTGAAACTAGTAAAATGGTGTACGATAGACCAGTTTATTCCTTGATTCTTGGTTAATCTTGCTGGTTTAAAGGAATTTAAAATGGTCCCTGCCTAATAAGTTCTTTATTTTGAGGCTCAAGCATAAAATTTGAAGCAATCAGCATCTGTGACTCACCTTTTTTGTGTGTATGTGCGGAAGATTCATCCTGAACTAACATCCATTGCCAATCCTTCTTTTTTTTGCTTGAGGAAAATTAGCCCTGAACTAAGATCTGTGCCAGTCTTCCTCTACTTTGTATGTGGGATGCCTCTACAGCATGGCTGATGAGTGGAGTAGGTCTGCATCCAGGATCCGAACCCGCGAACCCAGGCCGCCGAAGCAGAGTGCACAGAGCTTTAACCACTCGGCCAGGGAGCAGGCCCCTGTGACTCAAGTCTTTGAGGGCATTACTGAATTTCCTGGGAGTTGAATCTAGATACAGTGAGATATACTATTTGAAAGGAAAAGCAAGAAATACTTGACAATGTCCCTAGATTAAGGAGTTCAGGGGAGAATACCTATTTTCTTCTTGTGACCCAAAACTCTTCTTGATGTGGCGGTTCAGGTCCATAATAGATAAATGAGGTCGGTTATCTTGCTGTGCTCTTAAGTGGTTCTCCAGAAGTCTAACTGGTCACAAGCCATTAAAAATCTCATTTCCCTCACTTGTGTGAAACATGGTGAAACATAGAATTCAGACTGCAGTGTGTGGAATTGCTTAGTCTCCATCTTCCTCATCCCTGAGGGGGGATTAATACTTCACAGGATTGTAAAGTTACAGGAGAGAGAAAAACACACGGTAAATGCTCAAAATGTGGCTATTCTAGTATTTCTTCAAAGGATAGATAGTTTAAGATCAGGCAGTTGGGAGATTATTTTTAAAACCAAGCATGATAATTAAAATATTAGCTAACATAAACATTTTAGTTTTTCAAGAAATTTGGCATAGCTTTTTAATGGATAATGTGCTTCTGAAAACAGTTGCTGATTATATTGTCTTACTTCATGAATCGGTCCTCAGGTATAGATGAAGCTTAAGAAAATACGGTTCCTTTTCCCAAAAAGTAGAGTGAGATCTATGCTGAATACTATAGATCTGAAGGAAATTTTGTGGAGCAAACATTTTCCAATTGACATGCAGTATGTTTCAAGGATGAGTAAGGTCCATCTAGTCATGGCAATGGAAGGTGGGATTATGAGGGATTACGTTATCAGTTTACCACCTAACCCTTAGTATCCTGCCAGGATAGTTAGTCCCTGTGGTCTGGGGTCTGGGTTTATGGGATTGTAGGTGTCCTCCTCACTGTAGCTTCCTTTCTGTACACTAGGGGGCAGAAGCTCCTTGGCATGTGTGTGAGAGAACCACACAAGAGAAAGGCTGACATTCCTGAGAAAGGAGGATGCATAAAACTCACCGAACAAAGCCTCCGAAAAGGACAGGACATTGAGGAGACAAAGTGCTCCCATTACCTACAGTGGGTCTATAGCCGTACACTCTCTCACTCACAATCTTTTTTCATTGCTACTGGAAGCCCTAGGAGTCCTCTGACCGGCTATTATCCTAGTTACGATGTCACAACCTTATTCTGTCCCTCTTTATTGTTGTTATCTGGTTGGTCTGGTAGTCCTGTGCAAGTTAGTTGTCAGAGTGGCAGCTCCATCCTGCTACCGGATATTTATATACAGGAGCACACCGTGGCAGAAGTGCTGGAAATGAGTCAGCTTACACAGTTGCGTTGGCCAAATAAGGACATTAACTGCAATCCCATAAGAACCTCATCAGTTACCAATTGCATCAAGGCATGGTGGCTTTTTCTTTTTAAAGCATAGTTTCAGTAATACATTTACTAAAAATCTCAGACATCGTGAAAAAAGTCAGTATTTGGAATCTTACACTGCTTGGCTAAATTAACACTAAATATAGACCAACAGTTTCATGCTGGGGTTTATGGGCCTTATGGGAGCACCCGTGCACTGAAGGAAGGCAAAGAAGGAAATACAGAATTTGTAGAACATTTTGTTGTAGTTGCTTCTGAATAATTAGTTTTCTTTTTTTCTAGTAACCTAGCAGTCAAAGCTCGCATTTTTGTAAGTAATTTGCATGCTATTTCTCTACTGAGACTGAATTATGATTCTGAGGCTGGGATGTTTGTTGTTGCATGTGCTCTGTACTTTTAACTTTTGATAGAAATGATTTAGACTTGATTTTAAAAATTACTTCCTGAATGTGAAGAGGCACTGACTCTGAAATGAGATTAAAGAACCAATTACTATGACTCACTCAATAAAGCTTCCTATTAACTTTGAATTAAGCCCTATTATAACAATTCTGAGTTTGTGGCAAGCAATACTGGTCTGAGTTATTTCTGTGGTTTGATACCGAGCACCTATGAGAAAAAATAAAGAGTGAAGCAATTTTTCATAGACGACTATATTTGTTAGAATATTTATTTGTAGGTAGTCAAAGAATTCTTAAATGACAAAAAGAGTCAGCTGTTAGCATTGATCTAAACCAGAGGAAAATGAAATTACTTACATGTTTCAGCTCAAGGTATTAGAAAGGGTTCCATTGCTTTGGTCAATCTTACTTAATGAGCAAATTTGCACACCAGGGTCCAGGAAGGAGGGTTGAGTTAGTGCAATGCAGAATTTAGTAACCCTCTGGCTTTTCCAGCCCTGCTGGTTGTTCCCAGGTGCCCTCATATGGAGATGCCGAAGATAGCAACAACTGGGTGTCAAACAGCTGTGGGTCCTGGTTTTAGGGCCACGTGATCTTGTATCCGTTTACTCACAGAGTCCTTTGCAGGCTCTTGGTGGCCATAACCACACCTAACTCAGTTTTCTCTACTAGTTCTTTTTTCTCATTTGCATGTTGCACTTAATTTAAAAACACATTGAAATAGCTTCTATTAACTTTGTGACTTTAACCTAAAGAAGAAATTTTTTTCAGAGCGCTTCATACTTCACTTTAAGTTGTCTTAGTGCTTTTGGATTTGATGTTGCATTGAGTCACCTTTTGAGTTGGTAGCAAGGCCAATCATTTGGAGATTTTATTAGCTGCACTGCTCCTCAGTCAGTTTTTGTGGCTATGATTTTCTAGCTGGTCCTCCACTTTGTAAACGTTGCTTAAGCGTCAGTATGAGAGTTAAGCAATAGTAATTACATTCCTAAAGGGGAAGCTAAGGCTCAAGGATAGTAAGTCAGAGATCCAAAAATGAACCATGCGTCAGTCACCAAGGCTAAAATAGAAGTTGTGTTTGGAATGATGATCCTGTGATGTGACACGTACAACTTTTATTTCTCATCAAATATTAGTATTTAGGATAAACTATAAAAGATGATAAAATATAAAACATTTCTAGAAGAATAGTTTAGGAATCCGTGACCACACATTTGTCAACATGTTTGGTTTTATCTATGAAAGGATAAGATTTGGTTGATGTCTAAGGCCCCTCTACTCCATAGGCTGTTGCTGCTGCTTTTTTTTTTTGCCACTTAAAGTCATTCCCTTAGGAATGATCCATGAAGTAAATTTGGAGTTCAATAACATCAATATATAAAGTGCTTCAGTAGTACCTTATCTAAAATACTCAGGGAATTATGTGTTCTTGTTCATTAAAATTTCAGGATAACTGAAACAACTCCCCCCACCTTTTTTTTTTTGGTGAGGAAGATTGTCCCTGAGCTAACATCTGTTGCCAATCTTCCTCTTTTTGCTTGAGGAAGATTGTCCCTGAGCTAATATCTGTGCCAATCTTCCTCTATTTTGTATGTGGGATGCCGCCACAGCATGGCTTGATGAGCAGTGTGTAGGTCCGTGCCAGGATCTGAACCTGCAAAGTGAAGTGGAGCAGGCAAACTTAACCACTATGCTACTGGGCTTGCCCCTAGTTTTTAACTTTGATTGAAACAAATGTAATTATTCCATGACTTTTCCGGTTCACTGTTTTTCTTAGCTAAGGTTCTGGGAGCACATTTTTCACAAGTATTAGTAGGTTTTAGGTATTACTTGGAAATTGCTAGTTTTTAATATTTTAGAGTGCAGTTTAAGCTATTTGGTAAAAGGCTGATACTTTTTTTTCAGATCTTTTATAGCTGTTATCTTTTTTCCTCTGAATTTATTTTTTCCTAACTCTAATTATATTTCCCTTCATTCTGTGGCTGGGGATTAAAGGAAATTTTTAAAATGTTAACAGGAAGTAAACAGTGTGTTGCCACATCTAGGCAGGCATGAAGTTTATTGCCTTGACTTTACTAAAAGTCTGGAAAGGTGTCACGTGAGTATTTTTACCCTCGGTTTTATTTCTGTTAATGTCCTTATTATTAGCTGTCTCAAATTCTTTTGAAAACAGTGAGATTTAAATCCCAAATAAAATATTTTAGGTGTTCCAACTTCAGTCACTGTCTTCTAAACTTATCACTGGGCATTTGAAGAATATGATTGGTGTTGACCCTAAGGAGTTTTCAGTTAATTGAGGCAGTCAAAGCAATAAACAAATAAGTGGGATAAACTATCATAGATGTTCTGATAGAAGAATGTACCGCAGCCAGCAAAGGCACAAAGGAAAGACAGGTTGATTCTTAGAGGAGGCGAGGTTTGAGCTGAGTCCTGAAAAAGGGTTAGGGCAGAGTGCGGAGCAGGAGAGAAGCACAAGGGAAGATGTCGTGAACTCTGAAGCAAGAGGCCGCTTCCAGCTCCACAACTAGGGAAATGTATTTACCCTCTGAGCTTCGATTTCCTCATTTGTGGAAAGGATGGGGGCCAGATGAGAGCATGTCTAAAATCCTTTCCAGATCAAAATATCCTATATCACTATTAGACTCATTTTATGAAGAGACGTAACTCTGAAAGAGAAAGTGTTTATACTCATTGGAATGTGTTTTCCTAGAACCTTCTTCTCATGTAATTAAAAGGCTACAAGTTCTCTGTTGTGATAGAGAGATACCTTAAAACAGAGCTTTTTAATCCATTCAGGCTTTTCAGTGTTGCTTGAAGTTGTGCTGTCGTTAGACTATTACCTTAAATGTAAACCTCAATTTTAAAATTATTTATTACTTAAGTGACTTCAATCTGAGGAAACTCAGGGGAACAGATCTGAGAGGTCCTGGAGTGTAGCCTTCAACCACTGCAGGATTCCTCTTTGTGGCGTCTAAGCTTGCTAAGATTTTGTCTTGAGGATTCATAGCCAGCATCTCATGGCTAAAGGATGCATTTTAAGGTAGAGACTCACATACCATATTGAGGGAGAAAATTAAAATTACAGCTTTGTATTAAAGCCTCATGCAATTAGGATGGGTCAAAGTAACATTCTCTCCAAATCTTTACTGCCACGGGCTGACTAGCTTAATTTTATCTTTCTATATATTTATATATAGTTTTCTTGCATAAAGGATTTGAGGCATTTCCCCAGAATATGAACAATGTAGTAAAAAAGAAAAATTTAACAATCAGTTACAAAATAAAAAGCAGGCCCAGAGAAAATGTAGGCAGAATTGAGAAATCTGAGGAGAAGGAAAGAGCATAAGCAGATAAGCAGGGTATAAAGCACTATACAATTCCTAAAATTGGGCCTCACGCTGGACTCCAAGCTTGCTGGCGAGCAAAGCAAAAAGCATAGTTACAAAGTTGTCCCCAAAAGGAAATATTTTCTTCTGGACAAGCAAAACTTTTCTAGACCTTCAGCTGGAAATAATATTTGTGGGTAGTTCTTTACGTGCCTGTCCGGCTTCCTGTGGGCTGTGATTCCTGTGAAGCTGAGCTCCCCAGACCAGCCTCTTGTTTAATGTCAGTGTTTTCTTCCAGGTACAATGAATCGTTCTTCCCAGGACACTGGCTCTCGCGGCATTCATGAAGATAGAAAGCTTTATGTTGTGGATTCCATAAATGACCTAAACAAACTAAACCTCTGTCCCACCGGATCACAGCATCTGTTCCGTATGTGTGCCCTCCAAGGCTTGGCGGCCTTTCCTGGCTTCTAGGCCACCTAAAAATAGCAAATGCTAATCTCAATGTGTGGGTGTTGGGGGTGGGTGGGTGCAGGGTGGCCATTAAGAACAGCCTGGTAATGAAAATGCTATTTATTATTAGGCAATTTTTGCTTTTGTTCTCTGAATACTTAGACTTCCGGGCTTTCTTGGCTCCACAGAGAGAACTGAATGCTTGTCTTTAAAAGTTCTGAGAAGTCCCTGTGGAGTTTCTCTCCCTGGAAAGGGGTGGAGGCTGCAGAGCCTGTCTCCCAGAGGCTTGCTCATCTCTCTTGGCTGCTGCTGTGCCTTCTAGTGACCACAGCCACGTCACGGATGGTGCCTGCTTTCCTAGAGGGATCTTACTTCATAGTGATTGCTGAGAAAATTCTCTACACACTCATCCTATTTTTAAATTCTCATTAAAATTTTGTTGGACAAAAAGTCAACTTCATTTTCTATTTACAGATTACGAATTGTCCTAATTAAAGGCCTAGAAAAAGGGGGAGGGAGAAGCAAAAAAATCCGCTAAGTACTAAATGTGTGTCTTGCCCCCTAAATATTGTAAACGAGTTCTATTAGGTCATTCTGAGCCCCATTTTTCTAGCTTAAACGCTGACATTCAAACATGGGTGTTAATTGTCCACTTGCCATTTGTTTCATGTGCATTCTAAACTCTTATTGTCCCAATTTTATATCTATTATTCCCCTTCTAAATTCTTTCTGAGTCCTTGCTTTTTTCTTCATCTTAATGCGTTCAGATTTTCACCTGTTTTCATTGCAATCCGTCTCAATAAAAGTAGGTGTTTGGGTTCCAGCTGATGCTGTTGCTTTGATTAGGAAGCAAAAGCTATTGTGGGGTTGACATAGGATGTACTTATAAAGCATAGGACATGAGCCACCCATCTATCTGTAATCAAGTAGCACAGTGTGTGGAACTGAGGCAAAGTAGGAGAGAATATAGAAAGCAATTCAAGGGTCTCCATTTCCCCAAGTTCCTATAATTCTTATTCAATTTAATTTGAGTGTTACTAGGCAAATAGGCCTTACCAAGTGATAATCCAGTGCAGACAATTCATGGTGAACTGGGTTAACCAGGCTGTTTTATAAGCATGGCTGCGTTCTCAGTTCAACAGCAAAACGTTTAAAAGAACCTTGCTTCCAGAACATGTCCATCCTGAAAACAACTTCAAGAAACCGAAATACATCAGGGCCATTTTTTGTTTAAATGGGTGTAGGCATAAACTGACTATTCCTATGGTAAAAGGAGTTTCCTGGGAGATATCCCATAGTGTTCAGCCTTCCACCCAGAGGAGGTGTCCCACAGGCAGCTGTGTTTTACTCCTAGGTCACCTTGGGTAAAGGGAAATAGAGCCTCCATCACTCTTAACCCTTACCTTCTTTATCCAGCCCTCCTCCCCTGCCCCAAACAGGGGTAAGGAGGTAGCTTGACTCTGCTTGTTTTTTGAATACCATACAGAAGAAGGTAAAAAATTCACAAAGAGCATCCCGCCTAGACACTCCCAAAACGTAAGTCACTTTCTAGAGTGATCAGAGGGAAGATGGGCATATCCCTTACTCACATCTCCACTAGCCGGGGACTGTTCTGTTCTGCTGGCATGCTGTATGCTCAGGAGTTTTTGCTGTTCTTTGTTTCCTCTTAGCTCTAGAGGAGAAAATGCCGGACGTTGGCACTAACTCAGGAAATGGAAGCCACAGTCTGTTTTTTGTGGGGTTGATAATCGTGCTGATCGTTAGCTTGGCACTGGTTTCCTTTGTGATATTTCTAATAGGTAAGTACCACCGACAGGTTTTTTGTTACTTATATGCACTGACTTCGTAGCTGGTTGTTTCACTTTGCTCCTGTAGCAAGTCCATGCTTTCTGGCCATCAGTGTTTATACTGAGAGACAGAGGGTGAAGGAGCGCCTAGAGCAAACGCTGCTGTTCACTGGCGGCGGGGTCACTGGGGCATACGCCCACTGCCTAAGACCACAGAGCTGGAAATTCACAAACACATACATTAAATATTTCTAGAACACTTCACTTTCTCACTTGGGGACCCTAGCTGTCAAATGGTAGGCAGCTTATTCCAGTTAATTCTAAGTTCTTTAATTCAATGCATAGATCTTTCCATTAATTCAAGTCTATAACATATGGTCACATTCAGGTTTCAAAGTCCTTTCCAGGTTTTCTCTTTTGCCAGAAATCAATTAGAAGCACCTGAGGCAGTCCTGGGGACGTGAGGAGGCTGGCTTCTTTCCTGTTTGGCCTCACCTGGGCTGGCATCCTGCTTCTGATACACACTGCCCTGCCTGCGCCTGCATGTTGGGTCCTTGAGTGGTGACCCAGGCTTTCCTACACAGCTCCTCAGCCAAGAGATCCCCGAGGTCCCAGTGCCACTCTCTTCTCTGCCTTGGATGGGGGTGGGGTGCTGTCCACTTGTGATGCTGTCCGCTCCTTCTGCACATTGCCTCCTCCCACCTGTATTCTCTCTCCGCTAACCCCTATGTACCATCATCAGGAATTATTTCAATTCCTTCCCATGCCCGCCTCAAAAGTGGAAGGAGCCTGCGAGGAGGGAGTCGTCTCTGACACTCTTTTTCCTGGATCTACCACACTATCGTTTCTTCTGCCTTTTCATGCTTTGCAGGCTTTGTAGCCTTCAAAAATCCTCAAGGAGAAGTAGAGCCCACATCTTTGGAATGCCACTAATTTAAGTTTATTCAGGATTAGAGGAGGTAGCAGTGGTGGTGATGGGAGGAGAGAGGTGGGCAGAGGGCATGACTCTTTTCCAGTTCCTAATCTTTTTTTTTCCCCCAAACTCCTTCCTCCTTCCATCTTAAAGGTCTTTATCTGGCCTGGGGTTGGGGCCAGCGGGGAACTTCCAGTGCCGAGTTTAATTGCTTCTCTCTCACCTAGCAGATGCCCTTTTGCACTTAGAAGCTACAGTGGGAACTATCTTTACAATAATGGTGCCCTTGTATCTGACTATGAATGGCAGGAGAGTTGGCCCTGAACCTGCAGGGCCGGAAAGAGCACATAGATTGCCCTTCTGAAATGTTATCCCAACATAAATTGATGTTCCAAATATCGTCATGCCACACCCATCTGGGGTCATGACTGAGTTATTGGGAAATTTTAGGAATTGCCTACTGTCCTAGGAGCAACCCAAGGAACTTCTCTCTTCTATGGAATGATAAGTAGAAAGATTAAAGGTAATGATGCTAAAAAGATGCTATATATTGGGTGCTCACTCTGTCCCAGGCACTGTGCTAGGCACTTGAGGTCTGCTTGTGCACAACCTCGTAACAACTCTATAGTGTAGGATCTATTATGATTCGGGTTTTCCCGATGCTGAAACTGAAGCTTAGAGAGATAAATAACATGATCAAGGTCACACAGCTAATGAGTGCGGAATCAGGGCTCAAAGACACTCCTGTCTGACATCAAAGACCATGCACTTTATCACCATTTTTATAACTCTCTGGTATAAATAGAATTTATTTTATATTAGCTTCTAGTGTTTTATATTGAGGGCAAAGTTATATGAAGTAAGAAACAGAAAGAGGACATGAATAAAGAAGAATGTCTTTTTATTGGACAATTACTCTGCACCAGACACATTACATTCATTATCTTAAATCCTTACTCTACCCCTCAAGGTAGCATCTAATATTTCTATTGTACTGATGAAAGACTCAGGCCCAGAGAGGTTCCCTCTCCATGTTTACCCAGCTAATCAGAGGCAGAACGGGGATTCACACCCTGGCCTGTCTGCCTCCAGAGCGCCCCTGCACCCCACTGCCTATGTTGAAGTAATAATAAAGGCTTCCTGTGGTTTTCAGACAACCTGGCACAAGCATCTGCAAATGAACTTGACCTGTGCTCATCTTTAACGAGGAAACCTTTTTGCTCTCAGTGGGATTCAGTGCAAATTTGCATTCTTTTAACTGAAGTGCAAAAACTTGTGTATTCTTTATAACTCTGGCATTTTTATGCAAGAGAAATAAGACTATTTTAGACTGATTACATTCTTATTAAACCATTGGGTCTTATGTTTTTGTCACAATCTCAGTCCTAAAGAGGAATAATGCACAGCAAGAACTGTGGATGCCTGTCTGGCCCGGGTAGCAGTTTCCAGCGGCTCAGCAGTGTATTCCAGACAATACTAGGTGTGTGGGATGTTATTAAGTATTGCCTTAAGGAAAAAAAAAGGGTTCTCTGCTCAAATGAGTTGGAGAATTGCTGGGTTAGGTAATGCTCAATGTGTTATTTTTCTTCTTGTGAATTTCCAAGAGGCGTATTAGTATATAATTTTTCTCTAACCTTTTTGCATATGGAACCCTTTTTGTGTTTTTGGAATTTAATTTGCAACCAGTGTATTGTGGAATGGACTCAGGCCAACATGGCTGCTACTTCCTTCGGTGTTTGATTAATGTAGGAGGTTCCCAAGAAGGGAAAGGACATCGCATGTTATGGATTTACTTCATTTTCACACTTTTCCTCAGAAGGAAGTGGTGTCTCTGCCTCGCTCTGCAGCAAGGCTCAATTAAGACTCTTCTCTCATGTCTTGGACCATAATTCATCCAACATAATTTTTCAGATATGGGGGAGAAGCAGCTCTGGGCAATAATTTGTCCCAAGGCTGGGAGGTGAAGCTCTAAGATCTAGCTTACCTTCTCACTCTTGTTTGTTGGCTAAACCCAATAGCACATTACCAACATTATTAGTTCCTGAAAGATACCTTGGAAAAAACTTGTCGGAAATGGAAATGATAAGAAGCTCAACTATTAAGTACTGATTTTGTGCTGCATTTCTTGGAAATTTTGACTCTGATAAACAGACCTCAGGATGTTCCATTCCCTAGCTTACTCTATTACCAGGAGTTCTGTTTATTTTGAAAATATTGTCTCTCTGCCTTCAGGGTGGTCTGAGGGGAATTATCACACATTCATTATGCGCTGGAAATTCAAAACCAGAGAGCTGTGACAAAATAGGCTAGAACCCAAAAATTCTCATTTCCCAAATGAGGAGGGAAAAGCTTTTCTGAGAATGGATCTCAAAACTGACAATGTTAACAATCATTTCTCGGGGGGAGTAATCAGACACACCGGTGGTTTCCTTTGGTTGCTCACAGTGATGTCTTTCTCAGCCAAAATCTGTGCAGAGCTGCCAAAGGTAGTCTAGTCTGGCACCAAGAGGTTGTAAAAATAATTCACTTGGTAGGTAACTTCAGTCTTCAGCAATTTCTCCCCGGGGCTTCTGGGCTGCGTGGGATACTGGAGCAAGGGATTTGCCAAGAGGCAAATCTGAGCCCACCTGAACATTAACACAGGGCTCTGACGAGTCTTGATGGAATATGTTGGAAACCTATGTAACACAGTCTGTTTTCCATTTTGAAGTTCAAACTGGAAACAAGATGGACGATGTGTCAAGAAGACTGATAGCTGAAGGAAAGGACATAGATGATCTTAAGAAAATCAACAGCATGATTGTAAAGCGACTCAACCAACTGGACTCTGAACAGAACTAAACAAATGATCTTGCAAGAGCAACGGCTAACAGCTGAGCTTCTCTCCTGACTGGGCGTGTACAGAGTTAAGAACTGAACAAGTGCATTTCTGCAGGCAACAGATTATCTAGATAGTGAACCCAGCCCTGGGGCCAACTTTCTGCTACAGGGATGGGACTAACTCCAAGAGAAGGCGGAGTGGGGATAGCAGCAGAAAGGGGCTCATTTTATGGTAAGGTCCTTCAGCTTCAATGGAGGTTAAGGGTGGCCAACATGGAAGAGAACCAACAATAAGCAAGAGAATTCGGTTCTGTACATACAACTTCCCTTACAAAAGGAGCTTTGTCCTCGGAATAAGTTCACTGTGCCGGTGAGGTTCATGGTGCCTCAGGCACCTTTACAAACTTCCACGAAAGCCTAAGGAATGCATTGAATTATTTGTGTTCAAGGGAACCAGGTGATAACTCTTCAATAAAAAAGATTCTGTCCAGGTGATTGTCCTTTGACTCTTATTTCCCCAGGGACAAGAAATGGGGGCCTTCAGGATAGTTGCCTTCTGGTATTTGTTAGTGGTAGTCATGGGTGTGTGGGGACCTGGAATTGGCCATCCCAAGATATGTCTCTTTGGCATCAGGATTATTTGAGGCTGATTGCTTTTGATAAACTGGGACAGGGAAGGAGGCTCTGAGGAATGGAACGTGCCCTTTGTTAGGACACATTTACGTTTGTTAAGGTAAATCTGTATCTGTAAAGGTGCCTCCCTCTCTGTACCAGGAAGAAGAAAGGCGATGACCTTCTCTCTAGAAACTCTTAGTCAATACCAAAGGCAAGGACTTAAATCTGCATTTTATTGTGCTTCTCTGGTAACCTCCTGTAACTGACTTCCCTCCCCCACTGTGCCGACAGGGCAATCTTGTGACTATTGTGGGAGGGACAGTTCAATCACATGTGAAACACCCTGTTTGGGGGTATATAACCACTATGTGAACCCCACTTCTTCGGTGCCCTTTATTCCTTCGGGAAGAAAGGCCCCAGGCCATGGTTCCTCATAAAGCTTTGTTTAATTTTCTCTTGCTATTCTGTCTCATGTGAATTTAATTCATTCTCTGGCCAGATGAACCCACATTTGGGAAGAGGAAATGTCTTCCTCCCCTACAGGTGTATGGTGGGGTGGGGGTCAAAAGAGAGAGCCCAATTTATTCAACTAATGTTTTTTGAGCTCTTTGTGCAAACCATCCTACCCTAGAGGAGCTTACATTCAAGTGGGGGAGCAAATGAGATGCAGTGTTATATATAATTATACAAGCTTTGTTGGCTCTGTTTCTCATGAAAAAAATAAAATCCTTCAGTACCTCGCTGATTAACTTTGAAGAAATCTGATTGGTTTGTGGCCTTTACTAAACTATAGCATAAAATTGTATATTTGCGATATTTAGAACCTGCCTTGTTTTAGCAAAAGAGGTAAGGCACACAGTTTATAAGATATGGTGTGGTAAAAATGAGCTTAAAAAGCATATGAGTCGGGGCTGGCCCCGTGGCTGAGTGGTTAAGTTCGCATGCTCCACTGTAGGTGGCCCAGTGTTTCGTTGGTTCGAATCCTGGGCGCGGACATGGCACTGCTCATCAAACCACGCTGAGGCAGCGTCCCACATGCCACAACTAGAAGAACCCACAACGAAGAATACACAACTATGTACTGGGGGGCTTTGGGGAGAAAAAGGAAAAAAAATAAAATCTTTTAAAAAAAAAATGCATATGAGTCTTAGAAAATCTTTTATTTAATATAAATATATCGTGCAAGTCTATTGAAGAATGTATTGCAATTCTGTCATTTTGGGTTGATCAAAAACATTTGGGTTTTCACTAAAATTAAACACACCACACATTTCATAACACTAAATAGTTAATGAAATAAATGCAAGATGTTTTACTCATTTTGCACTCAAAAACGTTTGTTCTGCATACTTATTTTCTTAAAATTGATAGGTATTGTGCAGAATATTTAACGAAGCTTAAATTTTTGTTTACTGAAAAATTCTTATTAACCTGTTGATGGGGTGTGGCAAAATAATTTATCAGGATGTGTTGTAACATCATTTCAGAAGCCACAGAGAAGCTGAGGCAACAACTCTTCTTAAAAATATTCATTTCAGGGCTGGCCCCGTGGCCGAGTGGTTAAGTTTGCGCGCTCTGCTGCAGGCGGCACATTGTTTCGTTGGTTCGAATCCTGGGCGCGGACATGGTGCTGCTCATCAAACCACACTGAGGCAGCATCCCACATGCCACAACTAGAAGGACCCACAACGAAGAATATACAACTATGTACTGGGGGGTTTTGGGGAGAAAAAGGAAAAAAATAAAATCGTTAAAAAAATACTCATTTCTTTCTGTGAATTGGTTTGCTCTTATGTCTTTTTTCTTTCTACTTATGCAGTGGATGTATTTCACGCTCAATAATAAATGATCCTTATTCCAAGAAATTTGTGATTTATGATGCGGGGTCGGTGAGCCAAGGAGTCGAAAGAAAGATTTCTTAGACTCTTAAGATCTGGCAGTAGTGCTCTTTTATTTAGAGAATCGAATAGCATGGGGACAGGACCCATGGGCAGGCAGAGCTGCTGCCGGCATGTTGCTGCTGCTGCTTCTGCTGCAAAGTTGGGTGGAGAGTAAGGCTAAATTTAAGGCATAGGTATGTGAGTTGTCTCTTTACAAGACAAAGGAAAGAATATGTAAAAAAGTTAAAATGGTATCAGTGCCTGTAGGGTCAGGCCATTTGGCGGTCCCACAACTTTTAGACAAGAATCAAACAGGATTGAGTAAATAGCAGAAGTCACCACTTGAATATTATCCTCAGCTAAAGACAAAGGAGGATTTGGGGGGGGAGTCAGTTACATGAAGTTGCCAGACAGTAAACAACTTAAGTCCTTGCCTCTGGCATTGATTAAGAGTTTCTAGAGATAAGGCCATCCCCCTTCTTCCTGGCACAGAGAGGGAGGCATCTTTGCAGATAGAGGTTTCCCTTACAAATGTAAATGTTTCCTTCTCATCTGTAGTTTTAAAATTAACCAGCCTAAAAATCCTCATCAATTTTTATAACATGAAGAAGTGTCAGATAAGTGGATAAGTCATTTCATCCATCTTTTTGGATCCGCACTGTCCTGCCTGTGTGGTCTAAATGGAGCCGTGGTCACTCACAACCTGGAGAACTCCCGTCACCATGGCTCCTGGTATTTGGATTCACAGATTAACAACTTCCATTGACCCTATTTTAAATATTGGCTGGCTGCATGTCTACATATCGTAGTTTTTTTTTTTTTTTTTTGCAACACAGGGATTTTAATTCACTATAAAGGCTATTATTGGAACAACTAGAACAATCTGAATAAGGTCTGTAGACTAGACGGTAATATATCAATGTTCATTTCCCTATTTTAATAATTGTATCATGGTTATATAAAAGACTGTCCTTATTTTTAGGAAACACACAAGGAAGCATTTAAGGGTAAAGGGACATCACGTCTTCAATTTCAAAGTGATTCGGAAAAAAAATGTGTGTGTCTGTATAAAGCAACTATGGTAAATGTTAACATTTGGAGAATTTTTTTTAATAGAACCACCCATTTTTGTTCTTTTTTAAAAACGGCTTTACTGAGATATCATTGACATATAAAAATTGTATATATTTAACATGTACAACTTGATGTTTTGATGTATGTGTACGTTGTTAGATGAGCACCACAATTAAGCTAAACAACATATCCATCACCTCTACATAGTGACCATTCATGTGTGTGGGGAATGGGGGTAGAAGATTTGAGATCTATCACCTTAACAAATTTCAAGTATACACTTACAATATTGTTAACTGTCCTCACCATGCTGCGCATTAGGTCTTGAGAGCCCATTCACCTTGCATAGCTGAAACTTTGTACACTTTGGCTACATGCTGTCTCACGACAGTCAAATATGGCGCTTGAGACAGGCTCAGGAACCCAACTTCCTGGTTCGAATTCTGTTTCCACTATTTACTGTGAGTTTGGAGAAATGAATCTCTTTGGTTGTTTATCAGTACAATTGGTTATTTATAAAATCTATTTCTCTTTTTTTTGGTGAGGAAGTTGGCCCTGAGCTAACATCTGTGCCCATCTTCCTCTTTTGTGTATGTGGGACACTGCCAGAGCATGACTTGATGAGTGGTGTGTAGCTCCACATCCAGGATCTGAAGCCCGGAACCCCGGGCCCCTAAAGCAGAGTGCATGAACTTAAGCACTATGCCACCAGCTGGCCCCTAAAATCTATTTCTAAGTAATGTTCAGAGGCTTAGAAAAGTGATAAAGGATTAAAACTGTCAGAAACACAATAAATATTAGTTGTTGTAATTACTATTAAAGTTAAAAGTAGTAAGTGTGCTATGTTGGAAATAACCCACGATATTTAAACTTCTTACATGTGGGGACTTAGGGCCAAAATAATTTTCTGCTGCACTGGTTAAGACCACAGCATCCTGATTTTATCTGGCCAAGGATGGTGGGGTGTGAGCCTTTTAGCAAAATAACTTATGCTATGTTACAAGACGTGATGAATATATGCGGGAGGGTTTGTTATCCAAATGATCTAGTCTGAAGAATGTAATGGTCCGCATTTGCCTACCTGAGTTGGAGCCAGGACCCTGTCTGTCTTGGACTAATGACCACAAGGTGCAGTGAAAGGAGGGAGCCAGGACACTAATGTGAGGCGGAGAAGTAGGAAAAGAAGTAGAAAGGACGGCTGAACTGAGATGCGTCCCTATAGGAAAAGAAAGGAGTGTTTTGCACCATACTTTGGAATTTGTATGTGTTCACAAGAGGCTAAGAGATGTTTTTGTTCGTTTGTTTTCTTTTTTCTGACAATGAGCTCCAACTGCATACCCCTGCTGATGTTGCCAGCCAAGCTGGAAGGATCACACACATCTCTGACCCCAGGTCCAATGCCATGTACTTTCCATTCCGTTTTGTGGACCCTGGAAGAGTCTTCCTACAGCCCCTCAAATTGTTCTGCCTTGGCAACCACCTGCAGGTGAGCCTGGACCAGCCCTGCCCGCCACACTCTGCTGTTGACATCTGGAGGCTTTTAGGCTGTGGAGCAACCTAAAACCAGGAGGCCCCAGCTTCCCAGTGTGGCCGGTGAGCTGCCATTTAGGGAAGATAGCATACTTACTCCTCAGGAAAACACCAGGGTCATCCGGCTAGGACTCTGCCAGTGGACACCAGTCTTGAAAGCAGCCTCTTGGATAAGAACAAAGCAAACCAGCAGAGTTAAAAATAACACAGAAAAATGGCTTTTTTGTTTGATTGTTTTGCTAACAGTCTGTGGAAAATAGAAGAATTTTGGTGTGCATGTCATTTGGACTAACTGAGGTGTCTTGGGAAATACTGCTCAAACCATTGTGTTATAACCCATTTTTATTGCTTAGAAAGATAATTTTAACGGAAACAAGATTTCTCTGAGGCA